AGGCACATGATTCCCAATTGTGCCAGCTGCCAGTGCACACCTGCTGAGCAGAGGTGTGACCACAAGCAGGTAAGAGCCAGGTCCCCGGATGGAACTGCAGGTGTGCCCCACAAGGCCCACGACTCTGCCACAGCGCTGCCCACCCACACACAACGCGGAGCCAAGTGGAATTCAGACAGCCCTCAACTCTGGCATGCCAACAGCAAAAGAACCGCGCCATCACTCCATCTGATCATAGAAACACACAAGCATGCATGCAGGTACACACGCTCTGAGAAGTGGCGGCGTCCCTGTGTTCTTACCACACTTCCTCCACCCACAGTCCCCTCCCCCCGCCAGGGCCCCGCCTCAGCCGTGAAGGAAGTGCCGGGCACGCTGCCGCAGTGCAGGCAGAAGAGAGGGCCAAGCCTGCTGAGCACCGAGGGCTCCCACTCCCTTCAATTCCAGGAGCATCACGCACACTAATTAGACCCACTCGCTCTGCTGAAGGAAGGAATGTCTGTTGTTTGCCTTTTACAGAGGGGCTGGGGCAAGCGTCTTACCTGCACCTCAGGTCAGAGAGGTGGAGTCAGATTGCTTCAGTGGCCCCGGGCTCGCCCACACAAGCCTCCCAGACCACAGAGGCGGCCTGTCTTCCCACACACGGCCCTTACATAAGGACAGTCACCCAGAGGCCACTCGAGCTGGGGTTTATGGCCCCACTCGGGTTTTAACAGAGCACTTCCGTGCTCCCTTCCTCCCACTCAGGCGGGCTCAGGGCTTGGGGCCTCGCCCACCTGGTTTTTAGCATTGTTCTTTGCAACTCATTTTCCCTTTAATAAAGTTTGTCAGTGATTTCAAAAATTAAAGAGAAAGTTTCACTTTCAAGGGGGACAAAATGCTACAGATGTATGGTAGTTAAGTTTGTGTGTCACCTTGGCTGGGCCTGGTCGAGTGGCTGGGCAGCTGGATGTAGTATTCCCCATGATGAGACTGGTTAGTCTCCATGGTGGTATCTACTGTGAGCAGCTGAGTAACTGCCATAGGGAGGTGGTCTGCTTCCGGTATATAAGCAGCAGCCTTGGGGAACAGTCTCTAGCTTATAGCATGCTTGAACCCTGCATGTAGCCGTGTCGTCGTTCAGCAGCCTGCCATGCTCTGCCGACCTCGGGATTTCAATGGACTTGATGAATGGCCTGCTGCATGGTTTGGTAACATCAGGACTGTGCCTTTTTACTTGTCAACCTTGCGTTTGGCAGTCTCAGCAGCCACCAGCTGCCTGAGTGAAGAAAAGCCTCTAGCTTCAGTGGGCCAGGAGCAGGAGGCAGAGCTGAACCCCAAAGTTGAGGGACTTTCACCCAGGCCCTAGAGCCTGACACTTTGAACTTGGACTTAAAGCCTCCAAATTGTAAGGATAAACTTCTGTTTGTTAAGGCCATCCCATTTGTGGAATGTTCTTGTCAGAGCGGCACTAGATAAATGGAACAAGATGGTAAACAGGAGGGTCACGCCAGCCATAACTGAGCATGAGAAGAATCAGCATCTTTAACCACTCTCCCCAGTGCAGGACACTCAGACAGGAAACCTCACAAAGGCGGTGGCTGAAATCTTCCAGTGGGAGCAGTAAAAGCCCCGCTGGCACAACCATCCTGGACATGGAGACAGGCTCCCAACTGGTTCAAGTGTCAGCCATTCTCAATTTTTAACAGGGCGTTCTCCCTCCTCAGGCCCTGACATGAAAGCACACCTGACAGTGCTACCCTTGCAGAAGGGGCCTCAGGCTCGCGCTGGCTTCCCTCCTTCACGTGTTGGGGACCATGGCTCCGAGATCAGGGCTGCACTTCAGGGGAAATCAACTCAAATCCTGGTTTCGATGCTACCTGTTAAGCATTCACCTGTCTCGCCCACACTAATGAACAGGTGGATGAAAACAAAGCCAAGTGCATCAAAGGAAGTAGATGAGATCCTGACGGACAACGCACCTGCAAGTTTCATCATGCAAGCGGCCACCCGCCTCTGCCATTCAAGTCTGACAGGCGAGTGGCGAAACTCACTCACTGGGAGGCCGCAGCCCTCACCGCAGCACCACAGCCGCAGGCCAAATCCTCCCTCCAGTAAGGAAAGAAAGAGGCTGGAGCCCGCCTGGGTCTTGGGAGGAGACCGCTGCAAGGCAACAGGGCTCCAGGGCAGCGAGAACCTCAGAGCCAGGCGGCTGCTCCCAGCATTTCATTCACTCAGGGACTCGGCTGCTGTGTCAGACGGCTGCTCACCGTCGCTGGGGGCAAACCTCTACGTGTAAGTTCCAGGTGCTGCTGCCTAACTGCCTAAGCCCCAGGAGGCACTGGGGCTGCACCCCTCCCTGGAGGCAGGCCTGGGCTCCTCCAGCCTTTAAGAGCAGCTTTCCACACCCTTTGCCTCCTCGGTCTGGAGCCAGGAAGTGTCCGATAGCAAGCACTCTTGCGACCCTGGCCAGCCACATTCTCCCTAAAGGGATCCAATCCGCTGAAGAGATGGGCTGCGTCCCTCCTCAGCCCCAACACACTAGCAGTGTTCCTGGCCTGCAACCACATCTGCCTCCACGTGTGGGAGGGAATGAAAACAGAGGTGGAGGCTGAAGAGAAGATGAAGACACCAGACCTGTAGCCTTGCCCAACGCGGACACAGGTCACCAGGATGGCTATAGAGTCATCCCACAAAGAACAGAAAAGCCAATCTTTTCTGAAAGAATTGTGTTTGCAAGCCTCGAACACCAAGCCAAGTAACCTGGGCTCTCCCAAGGGAAGCACTAACTGGCCCAAAGCCCCCCCACCGGCCCCACAGACAGGTCCCAAGATACCCCATGGATGGGCCCCAAGACCCCCCAGAGATGGGTTCTAAGCCCCCCACCACAGACAGGCCCCAAGCCCCTCTATTTGACAGCACCCCACCTGACAGAGATGTCCTAAGCACCCCCACACAGACAAGGAGGCTTGGCTCCCCACTGCCATCCCCTCCCAAACCATCTACCCTACTTTCCACAGAGCCTTCCTGCCCCTGACAGCTGGTTGGGAACTACAGCAGCCAGGGGACACAGAGAGGATGGCCCCAGAGCACCTGCAGCCAGAGGCGGCCATCCCCATTGCCTGGAAAGGGCCACCGCTGCTCCCAAGAGAGGGACTACCCCTACTCCCAGGAGAGATACCACACCACTGCTCCCAGGAGAAGACCACCTCCATTCCCAGGAGAGGGGTCACTGATACTCCCTAGAGAGGGTCACCACTGCTCCCAGGAGAAGAGGAGTCTAGTGGAGGTGTCCACTTCCAGGAGAGGGGACATGCCAGTCCCAGAAAGCGGTCACCTCCACTTCATGGAGAAAGGCCATCTCCCCTCCCAGGAGAGGGGCTACTGCTGCTCCCAGGAGAGGGCACCACCGCTCCCAGAAGAGGGCCACCTCCACTTCCCGGGGAGGGCACCACCGCTTCCAGGAGAGGGCCACCTCCACTCCTGGGAGAGAGATATCACCACTCCCAGGAGAGGGCCACCTCCGCTCCCAGGAGAGGGCCACCTCCACTTCCCGGGGAGGCCACCTCCACTCCTGGGAGAGAGATATCACCACTCCCAGGAGAGGGCCACCTCCGCTCCCAGGAGAGGGCCACCTCCACTCCCAGAAGAGGGCACCACCGCTCCTGGGAGAGAGATATCACCACTCCCAGGAGAGGGCCACCTCCGCTCCCAGGAGAGGGCACCACCACTCCCAGAAGAGGGCCACCTCCACTCCCAGGAGAGGGGCACCACTGCTCCCAGAAGAGAGAGACCTCCACTTCTGGGAGAAGGCCACCTCCACTCCCAGGAGAGGGGTACCTCTGCTCCCAGGAGAAAGCCACTGCTGCTCCCAGGAGAGAGAGACCCCTCCACTTCCGGGAGAAGGCCACCTCCACTCCCAGGAGAGGGCCACCACTGCTCCCAGCAGAGAGGTGACCTCCACTCCCAGGATCGGAGCCACTGCTACTCCCAGGAGAGGGCCACTGCCACTACCAGCAGAGAGGCCACCGCTGCTCCCTGAAGAAGAGTCACTGCCACTCCAAGGGGAGCAAAGGCTGCCAGTCCCTGGAGAAGGGTCAACACCACTCTAGGCTTCATCAGAGGGAACAAGGGCTACCTGCCAACCAAGTGTCACTGCTCCAGTGAGAAGACCGGGCAGCCACTGTGTGAAGACCACCAAGGGGCCTGAGGACATGGTAGGGAGCGAAGGAGCAGACAAAAGTGGCTAACATCCTCCAAGACCCCCCTGCCGCTGAGCTAAACAGAGCTCTGTCCTCCCTGCAGGTGGGAGGACAGGCACTGAGCCAGGACAGCGCTGGGCAGCACTGTCTTCTGTTGTCACAGGGTCACTGTACGTTAGAGCCAACCTGAGGGCGCCTAACAACATAAGAGAGCAAAGCCATACTGACATGGAGGTCACATGCAGGGCCTGCACGAGGCCCCAGCACAGAGCTCCTGCCCAGAGAAAATCTAGCCAAAGTCCCTGAACAAAATGAAAGCTCAGCTCGCCGGCCGTATTTCATTGGGGCCGCCTCTAACTGTCCTGTATGACGGGAAGCAGCAGAACCAGTGAGGAGACAAGTGCTCTGTGGTGGACAGCACCCTGCATGGCTCAGCTCAGCTCAGCTGCTACCTCAGACACCACTGCCCCCTGGTGGCAACACACCCATACTGCCGGCTTGCATGCCAGGCTGCTCCCCAATCAGGGAGCCTCTCACCCAACACACCTAAGGCCTCCGTCTGCTGCTAAGGTGCAGTCCAGACACATTACACATCACAGCTAAACATGTCTCCCTGACTGACCACCCCCCACACAGGGCCTGCAGCACCCCATCCATGGTGATGGTCACCCCCCCTTACTGCTGACCACCAACCTCACAAGGCCTGCAGCACTCTGTCTGTGGTGACGGTTACCCCGTACCGACCACCCCCCTCACAGGGCCTGCAGCACTCCATCCGTGGTGATGGTCACCCCCCCCACCGCTGACCACCAGCCTCACCAGCGCCTGCAGCACCCCGTTCATGGTGATGGTCCCCTCAATGGTCTGGAAGGAGGAGCAGGCCAGTGTGCGGAGGGCCCAGTCCAGGAAGGTGGCCATCTTCTTCTGCTTGACGTCTGGACGTGTAATGAACCTACCAGAGGAAACACAATTTGAAATGCAGGCTACAGGTTCAGCCAAGACCTTAGCACAGAACCCACCACATCCACACAGAGCACCTTCCAACACTTCCACCACGGGCATGGGTGTACTGTGATGGCTGCCCACCTCAATTTCCACTTGGTGCTCTGTAAGTGGCCCTCTCCTGGGCACCCACTTCCTCTCATAAAACACAGCCCACCCGCACTCACCAATCTAGGGATGGAGGCGCCTGAGAGATGCCATCCCTCAGGACAGCAACACCCCCCTCTATCTTATTCAAGCCACACACAGGCCTGTCATCCCCACCCCCACCTGAGGACCCTGTTATCTGCCTCCAGCCCAAGTCCTCTCTGCAGGGCCTGTCTCTCTCAGTGCCTCAGCCTCCAGCGCTCTCTAGGGGCCCAGCCACACCTCCAGGCATTCACTGGGCCCACTCCCACTGAAGCTCAGGTGGCGCCCACTACTCCTGGCCACAGCTGATAGCACAAACTACCCTCACCACCATCCAAAACCAAATCTTGCAGGCTTTGCTCCTCCACCCCTGCGCCATTCACGCACCAGCACTCTAGCACTGGCTGCCCACCTCACTCCTGGACCCAAGAACAGCATGGGGAACCTGCCATGTGCAGTACCAGGGACCCAGGCAGGAGCAACAGAACTCCCACTGGTGGCAGAACAGGAGGTGACCCACCACCAGGACCCGCCACTACATGCTGCTGCCACAACCCATGCCACAACCTACTGCCTTGACCTGCTGCTGCACCCCCCACCACACCCTGCCACCATGACCTACTGCTATACCCCGTCACTACCCATTGCTGAATCCTGTCACCATACCCTGCCACCATAACCCTCTGCTACTGCATCCCATCACCATGACCCATTGGTGCAGCTCACCACACCCTGCTACCATGACCTACTACTGCACCCCGTCACCACAGCCCACTGCTGAATCCTACACCACACCTTGCCACCACAACCCATTACTGCACCCCACCACCACACCCCGCCACCACAACCCAATTCTGAATCCTACCACCATACCCTGCCACCATGACCCACCACTACTGTACCCCATCACCACGATCCATTGCTGTACCCCACCACCACACCCTGCCACCATGACCCAACGCTGCATCCTATCACCACAACCCATTGCTGAATTCTATCACCACACCCTGCCACCATGACCCACCACTACACCCCGTCACTACGACCCACTGCTAAATCCTACCACCATACCCTGCCACTATGACCTGCTGCTGCACCCCGTCATCACGACCCATTGCTGCACCCCACCACCACATCCTGCCACCATGACCAGCTGCACTCCACCACCATGACCCACTGCTCACCTCACTGCCACCGCCGCAGCTTGCTGCCATGACTCACCGCCACGACCTGCCACCACACCCTGCCCACACCCCACCACCATAACCCACCGCTGCACCCACCACCACAACCTACCATCACAACCCGCTGCTGTACCCCATCACCACAACCCTGACACCATAAACAGCCACCACAACCCACCACCTAAAACCCTCACCATAACCTGCCACCAAAACCTCAGGTCAGCATCATTCACACAGGGAATGCACATGCCAGTGGAGAAAAACAGCCCCTAAGGAACTCGTGGGCAGAGAATAGAAGGGCTGTGTTTGCACAGGGAGACAGCTCAGGGGTCAAGAGAGCGTGGGAGGGAAAGGACACAGGGAAAAGGTAACTATGGGGAAGAAGTGGGAAGAGAGCTGTTGCATTGTGGGAAACTGTAGTCAATGTCTTGTGACAAAATGTGTATGAGCTGCTGTATGGAACTTGCTCTGTAAACTTTCACCCAAATCACAATTAGAAAAAAAAAAAAAAAAAGGAACCTGTGGACATTAAGAGTCACTTCAAAGCAGGATAAACAGTGCCTGAAATAAGCATGACAGGGTGGAAAGGCCCCAGAAACCAATGACATGCAGATTAAACATCCATATCAAAAACCCAACATGTCAGTGCAGGCTGACTCTGGGTGTCAAGTGTGCCAAGGCCAAACTGGAGCATGTGGGATAGCACTGGGCACACAGCCTGAGCCACTGGATCCCAACACCACTCGAGAATACTGTCTCAGGGCCTCATGAGGCAGTCATCCCAAACAACCATGTAGGCTCCCACCCACAGGTTAGTCCCAATACCCACCAGAGTACCAACTCAGACACCAGAAAAGAAACACAGCACATGGTGTCAGGATTCCACAGGCTTCCCTTCTAACTTCCTATATCCCAGATTTCCACCTTTCTATGCGGAGCACACCATGCCTTTTTAATTGAGAGAAAAACACCACTTTTTAAAATTTAATGTTATTGAGCCAGTAAGATGGTAGATAGACAGACAAGAGACACAGACCCTCTTCAACAAAGAAAAGAGAAACCGATTGACAGAGATACAGAAGATAACCCTGGAGCCCTGAACTTTGAAAAGAACTATATAGAAGTGGATTAGCACTTCTACATAGTGGAAAAACCTGAACGAAAACAGTGAGTACAGAGACAGAGCAGCAGACTGTCAGCTACTCTGAGGGGACCAACAGCCTGAATATTTCCAAGTGAGATCTGAGAAGTGACCTAAAGATCAGCCCTGGTCACCAAGGGCTGCAGGGACAATGGCACTGGTGGCCTATGACCAGGAAGGGAAACAGCAAGGAGGGAGATGACCTGAGCTATGGACTTTCAGCTCTCCAGAGAGTGCAGCCATTTTGATTGTTTACAAGCAGCAGCCTCTTCAGATATTTAAAGTGACCGAGGGCGCAGTCATTTCAAATGGTTACAAGCAGTGGCCATTTTGGATTTTAAAGTGACAGCATCCTCATTCAGATTCCAAGGACCTAAGAATAAGCTCCGTTTGCCAAGGATGGCAGAGATATATGGGAGGTTGACAATGAGAGAGGAGACAGGTGGTGAGTGTGCAAGTGCTGCCAACTAGCAAATAGAGGAGCACAACACAGTATCCTGCTTATGTAGATAACATACAAACAAAACAAAAATCGTGGGCAAGTCACTCCAACATACAATCACCAATTAAATATAAACACAAAAACATCACAATGTCTTAGAGACAACAGAGCATCACAGTCCACAAAGAAGCAAGATAAAGCATGAGAAACAAGGGACCAGGATACAGACCCAAAACACATCCCTGAGGAAGATGCAGCATTGGAACTCCCTGATAAGGAATTCAAAAGAATTATATTTAGGTACCTTCAACAGACTGAGGGGCAGATCAAGGAAAACACCGACAAAATTGAGGAAAACACAGAGAAAACCCAAGAAAAATTTCAAAAGACAATACAAAAACAAAATGAAAATTAAGAAATGATACAAAATCTACAGATAGAAATCCAGAAGATTAATACCATATTTTCAGAAATGGATTACACATTGAATGGGAAAGAGAGTAGAATTGAACCAATGGAAGACAGAATTACTGAGACTGAAGACAAATACCTCTGTACTTCTTTGGAAAACGATCAATCAGAAAAAAGATCAAAACAAAATGAAGAAAGCCTAAGGTTCATGTGGGATACCATCAAAAGGAATAACCTACATGTAATCAGAATTCCAGAACAGGAAGAGACAAATAAACCTACAGAAAAAATTGCACAAAATTTGTTGGAACAGAATTTCCCTGGTATATTGAAAGATGATAATATATCCATTCAAGAAGTCCAATGAACCCCAAATAGGACAGACCCCAAAAGAAAATCACCAAGATACATCATCAAACTCATCAAAACCAAAGACAAAGAAAGAATCTTGAAAGCAGTACAGGAAAAATGAAAAGTTACCTACAAGGGGCAACCAATAAGACTACGCTCATTTTTCTCAGCAGAAACTATGCAGGCGAGAAGACAATGGTATGGTATATATATAACCCTGAAAGAAAAAAAAAATTCCAACCAAGAATTACATACCCAGCAAAACTGTCCCTCAAATATGATGGTGAAATTAGGACATTTCCAGATAAGCAAAATTTAAGGGAATTTGTCAAAACCAGACCAACCTTACAATAGATGCTAAAGAGAGTCCCTTGGACAGAGAACCAACAACAGCAAACAACAATCGACCATTAACACAAATGATGACATAACCTAGAAACCAACCCAGTTATGGAAGTATCCAAAGTAAATAAGCCTACAAGATTGTAAACAGGGAACCAGAGACATCAATGACAAATGAGAACAACTACAAACAAAAAACAGGGAGAAAAAATTGTGTAGTTACAGAACTTCTAAATGGTAGGGAAGTTAAGACAACTACAAGATAGAACGGACTGTTCTAAGCTTGGGAAGAAAACTATAAATCACAGGGTAACCTCAAAGAAAAATGATGAATCTTTACATCAAAATAAAAAAGAGGACCAGCACAAATATTTAGCAAATTCTAAAACAACAGCAATGAAGCAAGTGGTAACTGATTCATAAACAAAACGAGCTCAGTACAGAAATTTATCTGGAACGGAGAAACCAGCACCATCATAAAAAAACATATAACAAAATGACAGCAACAAATTCATACCTGTCAATAATTATACTGAATGTCAGTGGATTAAATGCACCACTCAAGAGACAGAGAGTTGCAGACTAGATAAGAAAACATAACCCATCAAGATGCTATCTACAAGAGATACATCTTAGAGACAAAGACAAAAATAGATTGAAAATCAAAGGTTGGAAAAAGACACATTAAGCAAATGGCAACCAAAAAAGAGCAGGAGTAGTAATATTAATTTCTGATAAAACTGACTTTAAGACAAAACCACCATAAGAGACAAGGAAGGACATTACATAATGATTAAAGGAGGGATTGAACAAGAGGACATAATAATAAATATCTATGCACCCAAGGAAAGAGCCCCAAAGTACTTAAACCAGATTCTAACAAAACTGAAAAGACATATAGATCACTCCACAGTTATAGTAAAAAGCAAATGCACTGCAGTCAAGTTGGA